AGATTTTGACATATTTCTTGTGAAGCATGCTTGTCTTACCTCTTTGCACCATATACCTAGTGCCATGAATATTGCCATTGTTGCATCATATTCTTCACACACTTATGTTTCTAATGGTTATGTGCAAGAGAAGAGAACCATCATGATGGATGATGTGTTTATCTACCATGCGCATACGTTCTTTTTGTTGTGTGCATGTGTAGGATACTTGGACTTCGTGTGGACTTCCACGTCACGTGAGTTGACAATCCGAGCTCTTGAGAGCGAACCACCTCCTACCATGACGATTCTACATCGCACTTGCTTGTACTTCGGCATTGTGAAGGACGCACAAGGACATATTTTCAAGGTGATATCCTTCTCTTTTGAGAACCCCCAAACCATGAGCATGGATATTGCGGATCATACTACTTGTGTTGCTTGCGCCATGAGACTTGATTGCACACATGTTAGCGATCTTGCTTCCACTTGTCATTCTCACTGTTCCATGCATCATGATATATATGCCTTGTGTGTTGCATCCAATTCTTGGATTACTTGCTCCTCTCATATGTTTGGTTGCAACAATGTCATCACTTTACATATGCCATGTCCCATTGACTGCTACATGCTTGCCTTGATTGCCTCACACATGATGAACAATTGCTCTTTCCATTGTGTTGAGTGCCACACGATATTCACTACACCCAATGCACATTATACTTGGATTGTCTTGCACTTGACCCATGTGTTTAGACACTTCATTTTATTTGGTGTTGTGAATGATTCCTGTGCCTACCATAGACCTTTCATTGAGAAATTTGCCCATGCTTGCTATGATCTTGAGGTAGATTCTTATTCTCGTGTTACACATATTTGCATCACTACCTCACATTTACATGCTTGTCCCCATGATATCTTTGATTGTGCTCAATTTATATGCTTATATGCCATGTCACAATCCTTTGTCAAACTATATGCTTTGCATGATGACGACACTTGTTTGGTGAATCACCTCTTGAATGCTTGGTTTTGCACTAACGCTAACCACATTTGTTTTTCCAAGTGGTTGTTGTCTTTGCTACTTTTGAAGGAATCCCAAGATGGTGTGACATTGGAGAGTGCCCATTTCGAGCTTCAAGATGACGAGAACTTGGTGATCGACCACTCCTACAAGGTGACGCCATCTCTTTCCCATCGTGATTTGGATTTCGATCCGAGGTCGGATCTTTCCCAACGGAGGGGAGATGATGCGGAGCATCCTATGGACATCACCATGTCAAGAGTCTGTTTGGCAAGTGACATGTGCGACATCTACTTCACATACATAAAGGTGAATCATCTCCTTTACATGTTCTCACATGAACCCTTCGAGGATGATATGCTACTTGACACCCCTCTCGTGTGCATGCATAGGTATTGTCGGAACACTACGGACGACGAGGAGGAGTGCAAGCGCCAAGGAACAACTACACCATCCGCGAGGGAAGCATGGAAGCGACGACGGAAGAAGACGGAGACAGCTTCTAGGACCTGGACATTCGGCCCCTGGACGTGTCACCAGCAGCAAGGAGCCAGTGGTCAAGTCTACAGGGCCCAGACATTCGGCGACCAGCCCGGACATCCGGCGCGTCCCGAGCCCCCGGACATCCGGCCTCCAGCCCGGAAATCCAGACCCCGCCATTCCAGAGAGCAACAAGGTTGGACCCTGCCAGCCCGGACATCCGGCCCCAGCGCCCGTACATCCGCCCCCCCTACCTGCGTGCAGCGCGTCTGGGCCGTGGCCCATGTACCCCTTCGCCCCTTAGACTATATATACTCCCCCTCCACCTACGTTTTAGGGTTAGCGTTGTGATAGCTCATTTGAGAGATAGAGCTTCGCTCATCCATATCGGATCTACTCCACGAGAGAGACCGCGGCCCCTCTACGGAGAAGATCCACCTTTGGATTCAAGACCCCTCACAGGAAGATCCCCTTGTGGATTCAAGACCTCCTCGCGGAGAAGAACCGGTTACCTCTTGTATCGTCCGTTGTTGACTTTGGATCTTGTATCTTCCTTTGTGTTCATGGATCTAGCGCATGTGTGATCATATTTGTTGGTTTCTCGTGTTCCTCTCGTGTTTTTCCCCTCGTTTCCATACTCGTGTTCTTCGTGTTCATCGCAGGATCCGCTCCTTTCGTGAAAGATCGGGCCACTATGGTTCTACCCTACATCACAGAAGATCCAGCTCGTCGGGCGTGCGGCCACGCGGATGCACACACGGATTCCACGGGCACGAGCAGTCTCGGCCAGCTCATGCAAACGGCGCACAAGGTCTGCCTTGGGAGCGGCCGTTGGCATGAGGTCGGGACGTGGGCGCTGGAATCTTCATCTCGGCGACGGGGGCAGCGGCCGGGGGGCTGGTGTGGATGCTCGGCAGGGTGAGCTTCGGCCATGGGCATGAGAAGAGAGATGAAAGGAGAACTGTGGATGTCTTGTGGGTCCTTGCACTCTGAGGTGGCAGGAATGTCTAGGCGTGCCCAGGCAGCCTCATATTGCTCTCAGATTTAAGACGAGTTTGAGGTACACAGGTTAGTTCAGACGTTTAGAGATAGAATAGAGGGTCTGATTGGATCACTCTTTTTTGACCCTAGATTTGAGACGAGTATGAGGTACACCAGTGAGTCTTAAACATTTAGAGATAAAATAGGAATCCGATTGGATCACTCTTTTTTGACCGGCGGACGTGTCTGGTATAGGGATTTGAGACGGGTATGAAATACACCAGTAAGTCTGGACATTTAGGAATAAAAGGGCACCTCTAGGCGCCGGCGCATCGGCCGAATGTTTCGGCCGGTCTGCTTCCAGCCGCCCGATCTGTTGTGCGACACCGTCAGATCGGAGCTCCTCTGCTCTTTTTACCTTATCGTCGTCTTCCCGAGCGCTCGCCGCGCCGACAGCCCGTCGGGGCCGCCCCACGCTCCGGCACTCATCTCGCCCCGGCCGCCGGTTGGAACTGACCGCTCGCCGCCTCGGCCGCTCGTCGGAGCGCCATGGATGCAGCTCCGCGACTCAGCTCGTCCAGTCCGCTCGCCGCCCCGGCCGCCCGTTGGGGCCGCCCCGGCCGCCCGTTGGGGCCGCCCCGCGCTCCGGGACTCAGCTCGCCCTGACCGCTCGCTGCCCCCGCTGCTCGTCGGAGTGCCATGGATGCAGCTCCGCCTCACCGATGATTGGTTCCAGCAAAAAACAGAGATGCCCCGCGGTAGCATTTTCCCGTGTCAGTCGTAGCAGATGAAGACAACGGTTGCAGCAAAAAAAATCCATCGGTGTTGCCATTGTAGCAAAAAATTTAATCGGATGTAGCAAAACACATCGCCAATGGTAGCAAAAGACGAGGATGTTGCAACAAAAATGCCGTCCTCGTCTTCGCCGGTCACACCACAGTCGTAAAAAAGTACCATGGCCGCATGAATGGATGTAGCAAAACACATAGACGGTAGTAACAAAAAATTGACACGGTTGTAGCTTTTATCTCAATGGTTGAAGCTTTTCCCCCCTACGGTGGAAGCTTTTCTAAACGATTGAAACTTTTTTCGTTTTGAGTAGCGCCTGGGTGAAATATTCCTCTCTCGTTCGGTTGAAGCTTTTTTCATCGAAGGTTGTAGCATTTTCTGTAGATGGTTGTAGCTTTCCTCGATGGCACTGAACGCTTGCAACTTTCTGTATATCCGATGTAGCAAAACTCGACGCCGGTTGTAGCTAAGTGGTGTGCCGGTTGTAGCAAAATGTGATACAGGTTGTAGCATGTAACAAAAAGTGTGATGTCTCTAGTGTTTGCTTGGAACAACGCCGCCGTCTTCACAGCTCGCAGTCACCATGCTCGCCGTCCCATGATGGGAGCTCTCTCGGGCACCAGTTGCAACAGGCCATGACGTGGTTCCAGCTTCCGCCTAGGCCGGTTGCAACACGTCTCGTTGTGGGCATGTCTTCTCCGGTGACCGGTCGCCGCTCGTAGCACGGCCTCGTCGAAGCGTGCAGCACGACGCCGGTGGGCAACGTGGGGTGGGGTGGCAAAAGCCAGGCCGTCGCCTCAGGCGGGCGGCTGTCCGCCGTGACCGGTTGAGAGCATAGTCCCAGCCTGCCCGGACTAGACACCGACGGCATCACCTACTAGTAACGGGGGGTAGCTGGTGTGTGGTGGGGGGCCATTATCGGTCAGTGCTTGGGGTTGGGAGGAAGCCTAGATGCAGGAGGAGGGAAAGCAAAACGTGAGCGGCTGAAAAATAACTGCGGGAGGATAAGGGATGTGAGGTGGGCCTACTAGCAGCAACAGCTAGCGAGTCCGGTCAAAGCTTCGGCCGGTGCCCCGGCGTGAAACGTTTCCCGGAATGAAATAGAGATTCGATTGGATCACTCTTTTTTGACCCGCAGACATAGGGGTCCGGCCGTAGATGCTCTTACGGCCTCGTTCGCTGTTCGCTGACTGGAAAAAAAAATTTAATTGTTTTGATTACTTACCTAGCTTGCCACACTCGACTTTTTGGAGCCAGATCTGCAACGGACTTTCACAGGAGAGATAAAGCAACCAACGCCAAAACGTGAACACAAGCATAGCCCGAACGCTGACGAAGTACGCCATATACTCCATTACACGTTCACGGCACAGGTACTGTTGTAGATTTTGTAATATAATAACCTCATAGACTCGCAGAAACAACTCGTCGGAAAGAATCTTTAATGAGAAGACTACCACAGTGACTCACAAGGAAGGTACTCATGTACAGCACGAATATACGACAGACAATACGGTACGACGACGACCATGCTCCACGCTGAGTATTATACCACCTTAAACAAAAGAACTCGGGCAGCATCCGTTGCCCAACCACTGCTATCCATCCTACAACCTGTCTGATATAATCAAAAGATATTATTTTCTCTCCGCTCGCACATACGATCACCATCTTCAACTCATCATGCTCGGCTAGATTCGAATTTCTCCTCCTCTGCTATAGAGATCCAGGTTCTTTGTGACTTGGTCTATGCTGATTGCTGCGACTGCTGCTGCTGCTGCTGCTGCTGAGCCTGCTGCGTCTGTGATGACTGCTGCTGTTGCTGCTGCTGTATTTGCAGCTGCTGCATTTGAATCAGCTGGGAGTTCATCTGCTGCTGTAGGCCCGCCTTCGACATACGAGCATCCGTAATCTCACCGGTTGCAACTTTCAGCCGCTGGACCTCACCCGTTAGTGCTTCATTCAGAGCTGGATACATATGAATCCCATAGAGAAACATAAATCAATGGACAGAACATTACAAAACAACTAATTAAGTTACATGATAGCCTTCATTCAATCACTGCAATAGGTGGCAAAAAAAAACAATGTGCATCAACAAGGAAATAAAATCTTATATTATCTGAAAAGAAAGAAAAAAATGGCACATGCACAGTTGATTTCCATAGTTTAGCACTGAAAGTCACAAAGCAAGATGAACATATATAACCCTGTCACCCAAATAAACACAATGACACATGATTGGTTTATAGACACTGCAAACAACAACCTGAACAACTAAACATGGATTATATAACACAACACATAACTAATACTATGACAACTATGGAAACAAGCATGAAGATAATGAAAATATCATTATCATACACACTTGCGTTTGCCTAGAAAGTTTATCCGGGTAAGGCTAGCAATTGGCATATGATGCCATCTTGCAATGAAATCAACTTCTAGTGAAACACCAGCAATTTATCATGCCAACCAGAGACATATGCTAGCCGACCTTAGAGCATCTTCAACCGGACCCCCTACTTCGCACCCATATGCCCGGGCAGACAGCCCAAACACCATGCGGACACAAATAGGCCACCCAAACGGACCCCCCAAACCCAGCCCATATGTTCGGGCTGTCCGGCACCCCTCAAACCCAGCTCATATGTGGGACGGATTTGGGAGCACCCGGATGCGTCCACCACGTCGGATCCGGCAAGCCGAACCCACTCCAAATTCCTCCAAATTGACCACCCTCTCTAATGTGTCTGTCTTCTCTTTCCCGCATCCGAGTCGTTGCCCTCTTCCGCATCTGTGGCGCCCACCTCCTCCTTCGTCCTAGCCGTCCTGGCCCACTCCGCCGTCCGCCCGCACCATGGAGGATGGCTCGGCAAAGTCCATGGGGGTCCCTACCGCTGGGAGCAAAGTGGAGACCATCATCTGCAAGGAGCAGCAACTCCAGCAGCACGCCCGCAAGAAGGCGGAGAAGGACGTCGTTGACATGGAGCTTCACAATGGTCCGGCATCTCGAATGGCTTCACGCAGGAAGCGGACGCCTCTTGGACACGTCATACAAGTCACCACAACTCCAACAGTCACGGACAACGTCGGGGATCCTCAGCGACGGACATGCCTAGCAACCGTTCGAAGATATTCCTCAACAAAATGCTTAGGTCTTTTTTGCCCCATGTGCATTTATCGGATCCATTATAGGATGGTAGTTTCACTGTGATGCATCTTTAGGACTCGTTCATGATGGACATGATAAATGATGGTGAAGCTCCTCCAAACTATGAAATGGGTAATCAAAATTCGCCTTTGTTTGAACAAGTTTTGCAGTTTCTATGCAAAAGTGGTGAATAGGCACCAAAGTGGTATTGGAGTCGATAGCCATGTAAGTTTTGTTTGCTTCACATTGTTCATCATCTTCCTTGTCTTGCTTCCTTTCTTGGATTATTTTGGATTGTTGGGTGCAATTGACTGGGAAACCAAAGTGGTCAAACCTCTTTTGAAGATATCAAGAACCCCGACAACTCACCAATCTATTGGACTGGATGATGACGATGAGCCAAATGGAGGGGTGGACTGACATGGGACCAACCCAAAGAGGAATAGACACTGAGGGGGAGGAAGTGGGAGAAGGATAGGGGCGCACGTGACGACGCGGCAAGCAAAATGTCCGCCACATGGACGGACATTTTTTGCAACAAGGGAGGAGACATTGAAGAAAATGAAGGAGAAACACGAGAGGTACAAGCTCTTCTTGTATGTGCAAAGGGAGAGGGTACGGGATAGGATGATTATGGAGAAGGAGAGGATAGACATGGAGAAGCAAGAGAAAAGGGAGGAGAAGCGGGAGAGGTACAAGCTCTTCTTGTATGTGCATCGGGAGGGCATGGAGTTGGATAGGATGATCATGTAGGGAGAGGATAGACATGGAGAAGCAAGAGAAATGGCAAAAAGAAATGGAGCTTGAGCTTGAGAAGGTGAGACTCACGAAGATCACTAGGAGTCAAGGATCATGTCGGCCGACACTATCCTCATGTATGACAATTGCAAGAAGTGGATCATCAACAAAAAGGAGATCCATGAGTGCAACAATGGGGGCGATTGATTCATTCGTGTATGCCTATGTATGAATTGTTGAATTTGATTTGTTGTGAATTATTTTGGCTTGTGTTGAATTGGTTGTGTGATATATGATCTATATGCATGGCTTTGTATGGATTTGAGGTTTTGTATATGAGGGGTGTGGACTGGTTGCCCGGGCGGACAAATATGGGGCGGTCGGCGAACATAAATGGGGTCAGATTAGGCAAGTCCGACTGGAGATGCTCTTAGAACCGTATATTAGCTACATATGGACTATATATCAATCCACAGAGAGGACCCATGGCAACAAAATCACTAGCATAAATTGCTGACCGCTAGCTAAGTAGCTAGAACATTTACTGAAAGCCTGAAACCAACTGTGGACTCACAAATAACCAAAAATGCACAGAAGACGCATAGAGAAAATGCTATTATAGATCTTCAATCTTACACCGCATTAAAAATGTTCAAAACAAGTATACATCACCAGCGTGAACTTTCAGAAACGATTTTTACACTAATTGAAATAGCAATCTGACATTTAGATCTGAATAGGCTATTAAACACAATTTAAGACTAGATATATGGAATATTTGAATCTTTTCAAATGTCATTAAGGAAAAATATACAAGCCTTTTCAACAGAAGTGAGTAAGAAGACAGTTTCTACAGTATACGCATATAGTACTTATCAACCATAAAATGTGCCCAAAGGAACCAAAACAAACAGTAGGTCACATAAGCATCTAAAGGAACTGGACATTAGTTGATATATCCTCATGTAAGCAAGAGTAACGAACCTAGTCAAACTAGACGCACATGAGGAAATCATGATAAAATAGTTTGAGGTATTCAAGGTTTTCAAAGTATTTTAAAACATATATTGATTAGTGATAAAACAGTGTTAAGATATGCAAGATTTTCCAAATACATATTGTTCAAAAAAATCCCAGTAAAAGTATGTACCATGATGGTACAACCCAGCCACCTGGTGACCGAACCCCTAGCAACTAATAAAGTAATAATATAAAATGAATATACTGTGTCATCAATTTTCAACCAATTTGCAAATCAACTTTCCTGAGACAAAAGGACTTTAATCTACTCAGCAAGTAATCAACGCCAGGAAAATTTGTACACCAGCATAAAAAGAATCAGCAATATTTATAATGATAGTTTAATATCACTGACTAACACAGAGAACAAGCACGCGATCTTTTGTATAATAATCACGAAACAAGGTAATAGAGTGTGCTTTGGTTGGTAGCCAAAAATTGCTAGCCAATATTTTAGCATGCTTACATTTGGCGACTTAATATAACTGACTATCATAGAGAACCAGCACACAATCTTTTGTAAATCATAAATCACGAAACAAAGGTAATAGGCCATGCTTTTGTTGGGAGCCAAAAATTGCTAGCCAATATTTTGGCATACCTACATTTTGCAACTCCAAAACTTGCCAAATGTAGGCAAGTTTTTAGAGAAGTTGGCACCCAACCAATTGGTTTAGCTTTGGCTTGGATAAATATTGGCAAGTCATCTTTCAGCACCAAACCATGAAATTTTTTATTACAAACACAACCAAGATGCATGGTAAATTAAGAACCAATATATCTAGACACATGAAACATGCAATAACATCCAAGAACCACTCGACTATTGCATTTTAATGTAAACTTATTTGCTTGGCCTTGATTAACCCTACAGTGTCGAGTGCACATAAACAGAAACTATCCCGACCCAACAATAAAAAGACTGATCTGTATTGGTGATACTACATGATTACCAAACCAGCCCAGACAGTCGAAAGTTGGCACAGACACATGCTGGCATAATACTTGAAGAGCACTATTTTTGTATTGCTGTTTGCTAGTTTCCCGAGAAGACATAACCCAGTTTAATTTTAACCAAAAGAAATGAAGAACAATGCTGAAGGGGACCATAAGAAGCATACCATCTCTCAGCTGTGCCTGTTGCTCCATTGCTTGCAGCCTTATTTTCAACTCATTGTTCTGAGTCGCAAGTCCTCCAGAGTCCCTCTGCAAACAAGTGCGTCAAGAATTAGTTCCGTCCTAACATAAACAAAATCAAAATACAGAGCAACTCCATAAGACAAACCTGCATCATTGTCAACTGTGCTGAAAGTGTAGTCGCCTCTGTCTGCAAGACCTGTACCTTATGCTCGAGTTCTTGAATGTACCTCATCTTGCGCTCCTTTGACCTTGCCGCAGACTGGCGATTTGCCAAAATCCTGTCAATTTTAAAAAGTCAGGATGCTTAAATTGAGTGGGAAATATTTTTTCACTCTATGATGAAATGCATACCTCTTGACCCTCTTAGGATCTGTCAAAGCTATCTCTGCCAGGCGTTCATTTGCCATGATCTTCTTCTTCTCAGCCTCAGTGAACTCCCCGTTGGCGAACTCGGTACCAAACAGTGACGCAGCACCACCACCATCCAAGGACCCACTCCCGCTCCTGGAAAGGCCACCGCTGGGGGACGGCAGTGGTAGCTTTGGTGAATCGTCACCCGTGGCATAGTTGAGCTTCCCCATGAAGCTGTCCGTGGACAAGCTGCGACAATGCCGAGACTTGGCTCCGTCCTTCCTCTCCGCTGAGGTGGACTGGCTCTCGGCTTCGTTCTCGCTGCTCTCGGCCGCGCTGGCAGCGCGGGTGCCGCTGGCACGGCTGTGACTGTCACGGTCGTCGTGGCGGTCCTCGGAGGAGTTGAGCGCGTCCATCCCGTCCAGGTCCATGTAGGCGTTGACAAGGTCGTACAACGCAGTGTCGTCGCCCTCCAATCTGCCGCCATCCTGTCCCGTGGCCGCCTCGCGCTTCACCGGCGCCGGGGGCGGCAGGGGCGGGCTGAGCTGCGAGAACCCGAAGGGGATGTCGCTCTGAGAGCGGCGGTGGCCAGCCCTCCGCGGCGGCAGGCCGAAGGGCGGCGGGTCGGAGCTTGAAGACGGCGGGGAGGGCGGGATGGCGGGCGGGCCGGCCAGATCGGCGTAGGGCGGCGGCGGGAGCGAGTCGAGGGAGAAGAAGAGGGGCTGCGACAGCGAGCGCGCGTGGTGGGCCGCGGCGCCGGAGGGGATCTGGCCGTAGGGCGACGGGAGACGCACCTGCGGGTGAGCCGGGGGGCGGGGCGACGGGGAGAGGCGCCTGTGGTGGTAGGCAGACGCGGCGGCGAGGTCGAGCGGGGTCGGGGAGCGCGGCACTGGCGGCTGCCCGCCCCCGCCGCCCTGCGGGGACAGATGCTGGCGCGCCGGATCAGCGCCACCGGAGTCGTCCATGGAGAAGCTTGTAGAAGGCGGTT